GTGTGCCCACCTCTCCCTTGCGATGCGTGAGCACGCGGGGTAAGCGGTGTTCTTTGTTGTTGTTATAATTGAAACAAATGCAGCAACGTGGAAGTGATGGAAAACAGCACCGACAACGCGCGTTCTACGTTTGTACTATTTCACGAACAAATAAATAAGCGTTCCACCAAATAAATAAATAAATAGCTCCACTTACATAAAAAAACACGCAAGCACAACAACAACAGGCGACGCGGGTACAAGCAAGATCGCATGTGGCCGCTGTGCTGAGCTAATTAGCCGAGCTAATATCAGTCTGGGCGCGCGCTGCCTACTGCCGTGCGCTCGCCGCTGGACCATCGGAGGAGAGGGTGGACTTCTTGACCTGTCTGCCGCGAGACGCGTAAACACTCGACAGCTGCACGAGAGCGCTGTTTGTTCCATGGCCCGTAGCTTCACAGCGGCATGCGGTGAGGGAGGGGGGGGGAGGAGGAGGAATTGCGGAGGGCGGGATGGGAGGGGGGTGCTCGAGAGAGATGCGGGCTGGTGATGGAGGGGAGAGCTCTGGGTGGATGGAAAAGTATATTGGGTGACTTGGCTGGCGATGGTAGCTATAGGGTGGTAGCTATAGGATGGTAGCTATAGGGTAGTAGCTATAGGAAGGTAGTTATAGGGTGGTAGGTATAGGGTGGTAGCTATAGGACGGTAGCTATAGGGTAGTAGCTATAGGATGGTAGCTATAGGGTGGTAGGTATAGGCTAGTAGCTATAGGAGAGTCGCTATAGGATGGTAGCTATAGGGTGGTAGCTATAGAATGGTAGGTATAGGATGGTAGCTATAGGGTGGTACAGTGAGGGAAAAAAGTATTTGATCCCCTGCTGATTTTGTACATTTGCCCACAGACAAAGAAATGATCAGTCTATAATTTTAATGGTAGGTTTATTTGAACAGTGAGAGACAGAATAACAACAACAAAATCCAGAAAAAGACATGTTAAAAATGTTATAAATTGATTTGCATTTTAATGAGGGAAATAAGTATTTGACCCCTCTGCAAAACATGACTTAGTACTTGGTGCCAAAACCCTTGTTGGCAATCACAGAGGTCAGACGTTTCTTGTAGTTGGCCACCAGGTTTGCACACATCTCAGGAGGGATTTTGTCCCACTCCTCTTTGCAGATCTTCTCCAAGTCATTAAGGTTTCGAGGCTGACGTTTGGCAACTCGAACCTTCAGCTCCCTCCACAGATGTTCTATAGGATTAAGGTCTGGAGACTGGCTAGGCCACTCCAGGACCTTAATGTGCTTCTTCTTGAGCCACTCCTTTGTTTCCTTGGACGTGTGTTTTGGGTCATTGTCATGCTGGAATACCCATCCACGACCCATTTTCAATGCCCTGGCTGAGGGAAGGAGGTTCTCATCTAAGATTTGACGGAACATGGCCCTTTCCATCGTCCCTTTGATGCGGTGAAGTTGTCCTGTCCCTTAGCAGAAAAACACCCCAAAGCATAATGTTTCCACCTCCATGTTTGACGGTGGGGATGGTGTTCTTGGGGTAATAGGCATCATTCCTCCTCCTCCAAACACGGCGAGTTGAGTTCATGCCAAAGAGCTCCATTTTGGTCTCATCTGACCACAACACTTCCACTCAGTTGTCCTCTGAATCATTCAGATGTTCATTGGCAAACTTCAGACGGGCATGTATATGTGCTTTCTTGAGCATGGGGACCTTGCAGGCGCTGCAGGATTTCAGTCCTTCACGGCGTAGTGTGTTACTAATTGTTTTCTTGGTGACTATGGTCCCAGCTGCCTTGAGATCATTGACAAGATCATCCCGTGTAGTTCTGGGCTGATTCCTCACCTTTATCATGATCATTGCAACTCCACGAGGTGAGATCTTGCATGGATCCCCAGGCCGAGGGAGATTAACAGTTCTTTTGTGTTTCTTCCATTTGCGAATAATCGCACCAACTGTTGTCACCTTCTCACCAAGCTGCTTGGCAATGGTATTGTAGCCCATTCCAGCCTTGTGTAGGTCTTCAATCTTGTCCCTGACATCCTTGGAGAGCTCTTTGGTCTTGGCCATGGTGGAGAGTTTGGAATATGATTGATCGATTGCTTCTGTGGACAGGTGTTTTTTATAGAGGTAAGCTGAGATTAGGAGCACTCCCTTTAAGAGTGTGCTCCTAATCTCAGCTCGTTACCTGTATAAAATACACCTGGGAGCCAGAAATCATTCTTATTGAGAGGGGGTCAAATACTTATTTCCCTCACTAAAATGCAAATCAATTTATAACATTTTTGACATGCGTTTTTCTGGATTATTTTGTTGTTATTATGTCTCTCACTGTTCAAATAAACCTACCATTAAAATTATAGACTGATCATTTCTTTGTCAGTGGGCAAACGTACAAAATCAGCAGGGGATCAAATACTTTTTTCCCTCACTGTAACTATAGGATGGTAGCTATAGGATGGGAGCTATAGGATGGTAGCTATAGGATGGTAACTATAGAATGGGAGCTATAGGGTGGTAGCTACAGGATGGTAGCTACAGGATGGTAGCTATAGGGTGGTAGCTATAGGGTGGTAGATATAGGATGATCGCTATGGGGTGGTAGCTATAGGATGGTAGCTATAGGATGGTAGCTATAGGGTAGTAGCTATAGGGTGGTAGCTATAGAATGGTAGCTATAGGGTGGTAGCTATAGGGTGGTAGCTATAGGGTGGTAGCTCTAGGGTGGTAGCTACAGGATGGTAGCTATAGGATGGTAGCTATAGGGTGGTAGCTATAGGATGGTAGCTATAGGATGGTAGCTATAGGGTGGTAGCTATAGGGTGGTAGCTACAGGATGGTAGCTATAGGGTGGTAGCTACAGAATGGTAGCTACAGGATTGTAGCTATAGGGTGGTAGCTATAGGGTGGTAGCTATAGGATGATCGCTATAGGGTGGTAGCTATAGGATGGTAGCTATAGGATGGTAGCTATAGGGTAGTAGCTATAGGGTGGTAGCTATAGGATGGTAGCTATAGGGTGGTAGCTATAGGGTGGTAGCTATAGGATGGTAGCTATAGGATGGTAGCTATAGGGTGGTAGCTATAGGGTGGTAGCTATAGGATGGTCGCTATAGGGTGGTAGCTATAGGGTGGTAGCTATAGGATGGTAGCTATAGGGTGGTAGCTACAGGGTGGTAGCTATAGGATGGTAGCTACAGGGTGGTAGCTATAGGATGGTAGCTATGGGGTGGTAGCTATAGGGTGGTAGCTATAGGATGGTAGCTATAGGATGGTAGCTATGGGGTGGTAGCTATAGGATGGTAGCTATAGGATGGTAGCTATGGGGTGGTAACTATAGGGTGGTAGCTATAGGATGGTAGCTATAGGGTGGTAGCTATAGGATGGTAGCTATGGGGTGGTAGCTATAGGATGGTAGCTATAGGATGGTAGCTATCGGATGGGAGCTATAGGATGGGAGCTATAGGATGGTAGCTATAGGATGGTAGCTATAGGGTGGTAGCTATATGATGGTAGCTATAGGATGGTAGCTATAGGGTGGTAGCTATAGGTTGGTAGCTATAGGATGGTAGCTATGGGGTGGTAGCTATCGGATGGGAGCTATAAGATGGGAGCTATAGGATGGTAGCTATAGGATGGTAGCTATAGGCTGGTAGCTATAGGGTGGTAGCTATAGGATGGTAGCTATAGGATGGTAGCTATAGGATGGTAGCTATAGGATGGTAGCTATGGGGTGGTAGCTATATGGTGGTAGCTATAGGATGGTAGCTATAGGATGATAGCTATAGGATGGTAGCTATAGGATGGTCGCTATAGGGTGGTAGCTATAGGATGGTAGCTATGGGGTGGTAGCTATAGGATGGTAGCTATAGGATGGTAGCTATAGGATGGTAGCTATAGGATGGTAGCTATAGGATGGGAGCTATAGGATGGGAGCTATAGGATGTTAGCTATAGGGTGGTAGCTCTAGGGTGGGAGCTATGGGATGGGAGCTATAGGATGGTAGCTATAGGGTGGTAGCTATAGGGTGATAGCTATAGGATGGTAGATATAGGATGATCGCTATAGGGTGGTAGCTATAGGGTGGTAGCTATAGGATGGTAGCTATAGGATGGTAGCTATAGGATGGTAGCTATAGGATGGTAGCTATAGGGTAGTAGCTACAGGATGGTAGCTATAGGATGGTAGCTATAAGATGGTAGCAAGAGGATGGTAGCTATGGGGTGGTAGCTTTTGGATGGGAACCATACATATTTACGGCTAATAAAAATAATCCTAATAACAATGATATCACGAATGAGCTTTTCACTTTCACAAGTCGCTTCACACTATCAGGTGAATATTATCGATATCACAATCTGTTTTCTGCATGCACCAGTAACCACGTGTGAAGAACAAGAACAAAGGGAAATGAACGTGTGACCGGTTGTTGCCGTGATGCACGCCACGCCTAGCCGGACGTTTGTTCCACTCGGGAATGGAACTGCATTTTACGTTTTTAGCAAAGATTTTTAAACTTACCACCAGTTTACCGGCTATGGGTATTCTATATCGGGCGCACACCTCTATAGATTCGCGTAGAACACGGGTTTATCGAGCATATGATGTGATTCCTGGCAGGTATAATGCTTTAATCGCCGTGCCGCCGTGAATCTCAGTCCTGCTCACCTGTCCACGCGTCTCTATGGCCAAAGACCACAACCTGAGGATCGCTTCTCCGGTTCTCCACATCGGTCGACACGTGCCAACTCAACGTGACCAACCATTTCAACAGCGTCACAGCGAAAGTTCGGACTGCACGACAGTTCGGGTGACGGTCAAAAATCTCTTACAACGAATGCCAAAAATGTCGACAGAGCCAAGTGGCCATCTCCCTGCCCTGTATAATCTATAATATACCTGTGCCACAAACTCGAGTCAAAAGTGGACAGTGGTTATCTCGGATTATACTTCTGAGCAGTGATTTAAACAAAGTATTTACAACAATGCATGCATGATAACGTCCAGGTTCTTGTTGATGCACTGCCGGGCAGAGGGAGATCATTTGTGGAGAAATCGTGGAAAATCATGCGAACGACGCTCGTGTTATCTGTTAAATAAGCCAACGCTGCTGAACAAACGTAGGCCACGTGACCGATGGGATGTGTAAGCAAATACTTTGATTGTTTGTGTGGAGAGAGCAACAAGGGAAGGAGGCGTAACTCTGCGCTACGTCTCGTCACCTGGACGTTCTCCACAATGACGTTGAGTGATCAGTGCTCCTTCTCTGTGGGCAGCATTGACCGATGGGGCCGCGCGTCAAGCAGGTGGATTTTGACGATGCACATCAGTGGAGAATCGGTGGAGCATTGTGAATGGAGGTACTCGTCACGCGTGTCTATACCCATACGGCACAATGCGATCCCATAATAATAATAACAACAACGACGATGATCCCACGCGATCGTGAGAGCTGGCGTGTGACGGCTGTGCCCGCGAGGCCGCTGGGAGGAAAAGGGTGGCTATGGTTGCTCTTACAAGTGTGACGTCCACCGCGGGTGCCTGTGTCAGCACCTTTCACTGCTGCAGGGAACACGACAAATGCACCAGAAACGGGGATTACATCGTGAATGATGTAGCTGATTTAAAAAAAAAAACAAGCTGGTTGTTTTTGTTGTTGTTGTTGAGATCTCTGCCAAGCAAGATTTCATTTCTTATTTCGTTCAAAAGACATATTTGACACCGTAAACTTTGTCCGTGTTTTAAGGTTATTTTTGTTAATGAAGGGCAATCGCAAGTTTACATTCCGACGTGCAGAGAGAGGCACGACTGGCCAGGGAAGCCACGCCAGTATTTACCCAGGCAGAGAAATTGGAGGCTGGTATAGAATAAGAAGAAATAATGTGAATTCCTCTCATAGGTTGTGTTTTCTTTTTTATTAATTTTGTTACTTGAACATTCTTAATAATAATAAAAAACCGCGGTGAATTTTCCACATTCCTGCTATAAATGACAACAGAAAATGTATAAATGTTGAAACTCAATACGGGCACTCGAGTTTGGCGGTGGGGGCGTGCGGGTCGGGCTGCACGGAATTCCGTCCTCTCTCTGGCAGAGGGCTTAAGAGATCAGACACCTGGGCGTTGCAGACACCAGACCCCCGCTGCCCTTCCTTTGTCCGTCTGCTACCCATAATCCCTGGCCAGACACGGGGCTCTAAATGGGGCTGTCTGGACGTGACGACTGTTTGTGCTCTCGAAGCTTCCCCTCCCTTGCAAGCACTCCCCAAAAACGAAGCCCTTCCCCCTCGTCCTACCACTCACCGCCACCCTCCGACCCACCGCCACCCCGCCCTCTCCCCCCCCACCATACCTAGGTCCCAGGCCTCTTCCCCAAAACCATTCCCGCCCTCCCCTCCAATCTCCATTCTTCCCCTCCCTCCCTGCTGGCCAACAGCCTCGCAACTCCCCCTCGTCCCCTGCGTCTCTCCCGCCCCACCCCCACGGCCACCCCAACCCGCCCTTGCCCAGCCAAGTTGGGAGGCTGCAGCTTTTGAACTTTCCCAGGATCCCCTGGTGGCTCCGTGACCCCAGCGGGCTCGCTTGAGCACGCGCGGGGGGGGGGCAACAGCTGTGTCCGCGAGGCCCTCTCCTCGCCCAGCGATGAGAACCCGCTCAGGCCCCCCCCCCCTCCCCCGCTTTGTCCCCGCGTCGTCTCACGGAGCGCCTCTCGCCCCCATCAGGAATCAATCAACGGGAGGAGCGACGCCTGTTTTGTTTTGTTGGTTCCTTGCGGATTCACTCGAATCGTTTGTTTTTGATGCCGCGCGATCGAGTCGGGGGTCATCGTTCGTCCGTCGGTTTAATCGTTGACTTGGCCCACACATCTTCATCTTTAGCCCCTGTGGGTCTCTTATCCTCCACAGTGTCACGAACCCCGCGATCTGAGTTCAATACCCGACCGCTGCTAACATCAGTGGCGATTGGCATACATCAGCAGCCAGTGATATCCGAACTGACCTTGGTGAAGTCTCTTCAAACAACCCCGTGACGGACATGGCGTGGGGTAAACCGTCATCCAGCAGTGGATTGACAAATGTCTGCAAGAGATTAATATTGTTAACCCTTGTGAGAGTTTGAGATCCATTGCGTAACCAGACGTGCCCGCACACTCGTGTTACACAAACACACAGAGTGTGTGCGTGTTTATCTAACGCAGCACGCAGACCCAAACACAAGCTCCTTGTTTAGCCTCACAGTACTTTGGGGTGACTCCTCCCGGCGAGTCGGGGTGCGACAATGCATTCCCTGGCGATGTATTTGAATTGCTGCGATTCCATCCGAGATTCCGTTATCTCGATACCATTGCGGTGACTTTGTTTTTTACTCCGATTTCAATTCTCTTAATTGTTTGACTGCGCTTTAACGTATTAACGTATTTCGCCTTGGTCATTTTTGGTGATACCAGATCACTCTTGCAAATGAGACTAACCTCCTGAACTCTCTCCCTCTCACCTGGTTAAACATAAACTCGACTCTAGCGCCCTCAACTGGCTGCATGGGTCACACGAACCCATTACATACAACGCGCAAATCAAACATCACTGATCAATTATAATTATCGTACCCGAAATCTGATGCATATATCGCGAGCTTAAAGAATGGATTTTAATTAATTAAGGCAAGCACCACAGATGAGGGCTGATGTTGGCAGCACCACAAAGACAAAGATCGCCCTATAGGCTTCACTCACGTTTGAGGCAAGTGCTGTTAGCGGTTTGGATAATCATCACTGTTGTTGGCTGTGAGCCGGAATCGAACTCGGATGGTCGGGTTGGTAGTGCAGCATGGACATAGATACACACATTCATAGATACAAATACAAAGATCCCCATATAGCCTTAACAGACTGTAGGGGCAAGTGCTGTTAGCGAGCACCTATGAAGGCCGGAACGGTACACGAGGGGGTGGCCAGCACCACGCCCGACCGCTTTTGTCTCCCTATTGGCAATGTTTACACACCGCACCAGGTACTCATTAGAGGCTGAGTCGACCTAGGGGAGGCCCGGGACCGGTTCACATAATCGTCACTGGTGTTGGCCGTGAGTGGGAATCGAACCCGGGTCGCCAGGGTCATAGCGCAGCGCGCTAACCGCTACACTATTGCTCCCCATACACACACACACATAGATACACACATTCATAGATACACACATACAAACACATCAAGAAAGTGGTCAATACATTTTAAGACATTCAAAAAATGTGATTCAGGAATTATTACATAAATATTACAAACATTTGATATCGTTCACACTAGGTACTTTGTGTGTACACAACTTTTACAAACATGACGTTCAAAATAAATAAATGAATTAAATAAATAGATAGATAAATAAATAATGCAAGGTTAGGGACTGCTGGCATGAACACAGAACATCGATAATCAAATAAACACATATTTCACTAACATTAGCGACGTCTTGACGACTACACATCCACCGTGTGGGATAGCAGCTAGAACCACGGTGGTTGCGTTTTTAATGTTCAATTGGTCACTGAAGTTATCATTTTCATAACGTGGGAAACGTGGCCGTGGATGTGCTGGCCATGATGTTCACCAGCAGAGCGTCAACTGCAGAATCCAGATGTTTATATATACACACAACAACTACTGAGCAGCTGATAAAGGATTCTATATTCAACCGAAATGGGTTTTTTTTTCATTAACAATAACTATATTAATAACTTATGACCCATCATTTGTGTACTCTCTCATCATTCTCCATCAAAGGCAAGAATAACCACAATAAAACCGCCAGCGAGTGAATGCTGCGATGGGGAACACGTGGGTGGTCGGGCGACAGCAGCAGTCCTGGCGCGTGGCACGCAGAGACGCGGCCACCGTGCCCCCTGCCCCCTCCATTGCGACAGCACGTCCATCGGCTATGTCCGACGTTTCATGCTGCTGCCCGCTTGTATGCAATCACCGGCCATATGGCACCATTTTGAGAGTGATTCCATCGTGGGTATTGGTAACACGAGCAGCAGCACTTCCCAGTGAGAACAAGGCGTGAGCTCTCCCATGAAGTTCAGATTCAGGGGCGAGTCCTCTGAGAGTCGTGCGATGTTATTCTCGCTCCTGCAGTGTGTCCACGATCCTCTCCAGTTGGCATGGAGTTGAAGCAAATTGGAATTCGTCCAGGACGTGGCTTATGAATCCAGACACGACGTTTTGGACCTTCCCGTCACATTTGAAAAAGCGTCACTTTTGCATGAGGTTTCCATTTGAAATTCACGGCCTGGGCGCCTAGGGCAGTTCCCGGCCACCGTGATGCCGTCACGGCTAACCGGCCTCACCGTGGCAATGATAAAAAAAACTATGTTGCACTATGCAATGCTTCCGGTACAGGGAGCTGTTGCTGCAGCCACAGTGCACAGTGGGACAGTGAATGGTTCGCGCACTGGAATTGCAATCCAGAGGGCACCGTTTCGATTCGAGCTCCCGGCGCGGCAGTTAAACGAAGCGTGAAAATGTCTCAAACCCCCCAGCGCCGCCTCTGTGTACCCAGCGGTATGAATGTGCGCGTGTGGTGGGCCAAAGTGTGGGTACGCCCATCTCTTCCAAGACTTTTGTTTAGCGAGGAAGAGTAGACCAAATATCCCCTAGAGCTCCCTCTAGCAGTGAGTCCCTTCTGGTGGCAGTGGCGTGAGCGAGCGATTCCAGGGCTGCACCTCTGCTCTTGCTTGAAACTGCGCACGAGGCGTCCCGCCTGCGCGCACGTCCAGGTGAGTGTCACGTGCGCACTGCTCAATCACAAGCTCGATTTTAGTTCTTTCCGAAACGAGTCCACTAGCAACCGAGATTCTTTGTTTTCCCATCCATCCCCCACGTGGTGCGACTTCCGCTATCAGACGTAAAAAAACTCAAACGTAAATTTAAATACACTAAAAAAAATCTGAGACATGTTTTTTTATATACAGTGAAGGAAAAAAGTATTTGATCCCCTGCTGATTTTGTGCGTTTGCCCACTGACAAGGAAATTATCAGTCTATAATTTTAATGGTAGGTTTATTTGAACAGTGAGAGACAGAATAACAACAACAAAATTCAGAAAAACTCAGGTCAAACATTTTATAAATTGATTTGCATTTTAATGAGGGAAATAAATATTTGACCCTCTCTCAATCAGAAAGATTTCTGGCTCCCAGGTGTCTTTTATACAGGTAACGAGCTGAGATTAGGAGCACACTCTTAAAGGGAGTGCTCCTAGCCTCAACCTGTATAAAAGGCACCTGTCCACAGAAACAATCAATCAATCAGATTCCAAACTATCCACCATAGCCAAGACCAAAGAGCTCTCCAAGGATGTCAGGGACAAGATTGTAGACCTACACAAGGCTGAAATGGGCTACAATACCATTGCCAAGCAGCTTGGTGAGAAGGTGACAACAGTTGGTGCGATTATTCACAAATGGAAGACACAAAATAACTGTCAATCTCCCTCGGCCTGAGGCTCCATGCAAGATCCCACCTCGTGGAGTTGCAATGATCATGAGAACGGTGAGGAATCAGCCCAGAACTACACGGGAGGATCTTGTCAATGATCTCAAGGCAGCTGGGACCATAGTCACCAAGAAAACAATTGGTAACACACTACGCCGTGAAGGACTGAAATCCTACATCGCCCGCAAGGTCCCCCTGCTCAAGAAAGCACATATACATGCCCGTTTGAAGTTTGCCAATGAACATCTGAATGATTCAGAGGACAACTGGGTGAAAGTATTGTGGTCAGATTAGACCAAAATGGAGCTCTTTGGCATCAACTCAACTCGCCGTGTTTGGAGGAGGAGGAATGCTGCCTATGACCCCAAGAACACCATCCCCACCGTCAAACATGGAGGTGGAAACATTATGCTTTGGGGGTGTTTTTCTGCTAAGAGGACAGGACAACTTCAACGCATCGAAGGGACGATGGACGGGGCCATGTACCGTCAAACCTTGGATGAGAACCTCCTTCCCTCAGCCAGGGCATTGAAAATGGGTCGTGGATGGGTATTCCAGCATGACAATGACCCAAAATACACGGCCAAGGCAACAAAGGAGTGGCTCAAGAAGAAGCACATTAAGGTCCTGGAGTGGCCTAGCCAGTCTCCAGACCTTAATCCCATAGAACATCTGTGGAGGGAGCTGAAGGTTCGAGTTGCCAAACGTCAGCCTCGAAATCTTAATGACTTGGAGAAGATCTGCAAAGAGGAGTGGGACAAAATCCCTCCTGAGATGTGTGCAAACCTGGTGGCCAACTACAAGAAACGTCTGACCTCTGTGATTGCCAACAAGGGTTTTGCCACCAAGTACTAAGTCATGTTTTGCAGAGGGGTCAAATACTTATTTCCCTAATTAAAATGCCAATCGATTTATAACGTTTTTGACACGCGTTTTCCGAAATGTTTCGTTGTTATTATGTCTCTCACTGTTCAAATAAACCTACCATTAAAATTATAGACTGATCATTTCTTTGTCAGTGGGCAAACGTACAAAATCAGCAGGGGATCAAATACTTTTTTCCCTCACTGTATATATAAAAGCCAAATTCTGATGCCAAAACCATTCCACAGCACAGACAGCAAACAGTGCACGGTAATTAAGTGCTCCTGGTTTTATTGCCACACAAGACCGCTCGGGTTCCTGTGCTCATACGGATGCTGTGCATGGGAATATTTACCTAAGACTGCGGCTTCGCTAGCAACGCGCGCACCGAACCTCCGGCTGACAACACACGGGGGCATTTTTTATGCCTGGGACATTTTTCAGGCATGTACAGCTTTTCCTTGTTTCCTTCACCTTTAAAAAAAACGCGTATGAAAAACCCTTTAGTAGCAATTCCTTAAAGAAATCATAACAAATGCAATGACAGCATGATCCGCAATGCCCTCATGTATTTTTAAAACAAAGTTAAACATTTCATACCCTTAAAAGGTTAAACGCAAAGACGAAGCCAATTATATTTTTCCCAAGCTCGTCTCAAGCTGCTCGGGATTATTACCGTGTGCACCTTCCACGCGTTATCCAAGGAACCTTGGGGAGCAGTACGAGTCTGGACCTGAGCTGGCGGTAATTGCAGCTGAGTGCGTTGCGAGAATTCCAGCCGCACCTTTGCATTAGCCATTGCTGCGGGACGATCTTGCAGAGGCCACGGGCAATTGACCCGGCTGGCAGTGGTTCAGGCCTTGATCAGCAGCAGGCCGCCAGCACGGCGGACGGAGAGACAGCGCCTCATTAGCAACGGATCCAATCCACGCACCCAGCCCATTGTTGTCCTCGGCCGGACCTGGCTGGAAACGTCGGGGCCGGCGTGAGCCATTGTCGGAGCTAGAAGGGGCACCGCGTGGTGGGGGAGGTTACAGGAGGTGAGGGGCGGGGACAAGAGGGCGGGGTGAGAAGCAAAGAGGAGTGAGAGCAGACGGGATGGAGAGTGGGGAAAGGGCAGGGATTCGGGGGCAGTGAGATCGAGGGTGGGGGGGGGAAATAAAAGCACGCGGTGAAAACAAGGGCACCGCGACCAAAAAAGTTTCTTCGACTGCCCGGTGCTGCGCGGGCCAAATCACAGAGGGATGAGATCACTGCATAATAGGGTTGGGGTCAAATTTCCACCTCTTTGCAAATGCCAGACCATTTCAGACTTCCTTTCCATCAGGAGGCTTTGTTCGCGTCCAGACAGAATTGAAGTCGCATGTCAAAGACCAGGACCTTTTGTAAATTAGCGGGGCGAGTTGGAAATGGGCCCAAGCGCAGTGCCCGAACTGGTTTAATTAGGCGCAGCTTCGCCTAAGGGACTTGGCACAGACTTGAGAGGGAAAGAGCGGGGGCTTCAGTCGGGGCCAGTTGCACCGCACATACCGAGGGAACCTTTAAGGGGAGCGGAGCGCAGCAAGAGCTCGGTCAGCGGTGGATAAACCCCACGCGTTCCCTCGAGACCTTAAATGGTGAAGATTTTGAGACTCGTATTTAATACTTTTATTATTATGTTTTGCGATTCAGGTGCTGGTAAAGTCTCTGTTCCGAAGTGTCGGAGTTCGGCAGTGCTCGAGGCTTTTATCAGCGTGTGGTCATGACTGTGAGGCCAAACTTTCTTCGTCCGTGTTTGATTATTGTTAACTTGATATATAAATTTATATATATGATTGTTAACTTTATATATTTTTTTTGCGTTTAGCCTAGAGTTCTTCATGATTGGGACTGCTTCTCTTGGATAGGTGTTTGAGTGGATGTAGCCTTTGGACCTTAAAATAGTGGCGTAAATTGCAGTCTAAGCTTAAGCACCGTGTTAAATTAATATAAAATATAAAATGGAAATCAGCAGCCTTCATGGTTACCAGCAGAAACACATTCTTACACCTCACGTTTCAACGCCGCCTTACAAGCAATTCTTTGTTTCGTGCCAAGGTGTATTACATTAATACAAAGTGATGGAAAATATGCATGTCATATAATTATCAACATGTTAAACATGCACTTTAATTACGTAAGAAAAAAACATCTTAAAATACACCACTGCCTTCGCTCCGCTGTTTCCTGTTGGGGTGAAAAAATAGTTGCATCTTGATGAACTTCAACTTTGTAATTGCCTCCTATATTTCACCTCGATGATGATGTTGGTGATGATATCCTTGTTAACGAACAAAACTGCCGTCATTCGCAGTCATTTGTCACTCCTCTGCTGGATGAAGCCTCCGCAGGCTGTGTCGGGGATTGAACTTAACCCACCGGGTTCACAGCGCACCGAGCTAACCGGCACGCTTCTAGTCCCTGATGATACGCGTAGCACCGTGTCCACAGTTTATTTGAATCGGGAGGTTGTAGCCTAATTGACTGCATCGTTCTCCTTCCCTTAGGCAACAGAGGTTTGATCTAAAACGCGTCATTCACCCTGCGAGACGTCACGTGGAGTATCATCATGATGCCCACCAAGGACTGTGGGTTTCCAGTACCTATCCAAGCCATTGGAATATCATACCTAACATTGATAAAGCCCACGGGAGATTAAGGAATTCCAAAGCCAATCATCGGATTGTATTGAATTTGGAATCCCACAATCCTTTGCATCCCTAGAGCTTTTCCTTCGGTGTGAAGTCGGCGTTTGTGTTGACGGCTGCCACCAAACTCGCCGCTTTGAATTGTTCCACCACGTGATCAGTTTCACATTGGATATCACGTCCTTGACTGTGCTCTTATTGCATTGTGTTGCACAGTGTTTCCCTGTACAGCACTTGTGTCCCAGGTGGTACAGCCCATAGTGAACTTGCCATGATGTCATAGACCGAGCGGTCTTTTTGGGTGCGCTCATCATATATATTTTTGGAAAATTGGCAATTCTAATAAAGATTATGCAATTGAAGTTATGTGCACAGTTGTTGCAATGTCTCTGTGTATAATTACTCTGGCCAGGATGATGGACGTTACTGGCGCACGCTTGGCTTGGCAAACAGTACCAGGGAGTGTCAAATGTCTCTAACGAAGTGGACGGCAACTTGATCTGAAATCCGTCCACACTTGAGGAACTCTCTACGCGCTCGCAGCAACGAACGCAGCACGAGGAAGGTCTGCATGGAGGTCTTGGTTGTGAATCCGTCGACCTCGGTGGCAACAACAGGACCAAGAGCACGCGCGCGGGCCCGTGATGTCACGCGGGACGTCAGCTGTTTGATCGGGGACGTGCCAAACATTGCTTTGTGGTTGTCTGTGAGGGTGGGGTTATTGTACTTTGTTGTTATCGTCCCCAACTTTATTGCAATTGAGCCGTCACATCGCCCTGCGTTACAGATACTCCATTCGGAAACCCTTTGGAAGAGTGACACCATCATGATTCGAGAACGGTCCGCCGAATTAGATATCGCAGCACTCCTTGTGAGTTCACTTCAATTAAATTGACCTCTTATCCACTCCAGGAGGCTGCGCTCTCCCACCCACCCTGCCACAGGCAAATGTCCATTGCATGGCAATACAACCCATAAGTTTAAGTCTCAGAGCAGGAATTTGGCCAAATTATGTGCAAAACCAATTTCACATGATGCGTTTTTTTATGTGCAGGTATTGATGACCAGGCTCAGCACCACCAAACACACAACACTTTTACAATGTCTCCGCCTGCCTGCTTGTTTGATCTGGACACATTCCGAGATTAATTGCCACAAACATTTCCGTTCTGGGTCCTGCTATAGACGAGCATGGCATCATTTTGTATGCAATGGTTAAGGGATTCTCATCTGCCAACAATCTGAATTTTGTGTCTCTGCAACTGCCTCTCACAACAGCATCAGCGCTTTGATTCCTAAAGCAGAGTACAGTAATTACTCATACAAACAAGCCTCTGGCCCATGTATACTAATTTCAAAAAGTTAATGTACAGGCCCGTGTCAAAGTGCTGCTGGATGAAGGCCTCTCCACGCCGTGTCGCGCGTGGCGGATGTTTGCCATACGTCACCACGCTGGTCAGTGTGGGTTGCATCCAAAGGAGATTTTTATTTTATTTTACAACAAACCTCTGTCTTTTGTCAGGATGCGTAATGCTATCCGCGCACTCCCACGACGCACTGGTGTGCTGGTTGACAGCGGTGGGTCAGACGAGGTGCAATAGAAGTGCCAACATCACTTGCCCCGACGTGAATGGCCGGTGACCACAACCCCGTGGCAGCACTTCGCCACCACACAGTGGACGGTGTTCAGGTATAAATTACACACGGGTGGATTTCAACACAGCTGGCACTGAAACCAAAGGGAGCAAGAATGAAACTGTAGCTACGACTGCGAGTCCGACAGATTGAGAAAGGACTGCAGCATGCATCCTCGAGTATTCGATATCTTCCACTCTTTATCTTGCTCCCTCTGAATTTACAATGTATGTAATTACATATCAAGGCCAGGTTCACCTTAAATAATTCCCCCATGGACACTCCTCGTGAAGAACATTTACCCCGCGAAAATTAAGAGAGAGAGAAAGAAAACTGCTCGAAAGAAAATAACTTGCAATCGGTCCGGGGCTTCTCAAACATTTTACGTAAAAATCTAATAATTGTGGGGGGGGGGGGGGAGGAAAAACAACCTCCGTCGTCAGTCGACTTTCTCCGTGCACTGCGCCGTCCCAGAGCCAAAGCCACAGCCATCGCGCGCCATGGCGCAATCGGGAGTGTCCGCCCAGGGGGTGTGGAGGGGTCCCCGCTGCTCACGGGGCCCAGGGGGTGTGGAGGGGTCCCCGCTGCTCACAGAGCCCAGGGGGTGTGGAGGGGTCCCCGCTGTTCACGGGGCCCAGGGGGTGTGGAGGGGTCCCCGCTGCTCACGGGGCCCAGGGGGTGTGGGGGGTCCCCGCTGCTCACGGGGCCCAGGGGGTGTGGAGGGGTCCCCGCTGCTCACAGGGCCCAGGGGGTGTGGAGGGGTCCCCGCTGCTCACGGGGCCCAGGGGGTGTGGGGGGGTCCCCGCTGCTTACGGGACCCAGGGGGTGTGGAGGGGTCCCCGCTGCTCACGGGACCCAGGGCCCTCCCTCGGTAGCAATCGCGAGCGCGGGCCGCCGAGGGGGGTCGCACCGACGGTGTGTTGCTTAAAACAACACCAAGAAAAAATCTTAATATAATAACAGCCGAAGTTAGTAATGGCAAACGCGTATGTTTGCCATTATAGTCAGTGGTCCGCTGCTGGTGAGGGTATTTTTAGTTGGGAGGACATACCACACTCCAGCCGGGCTATACAGCAGCCTGAGAAAATTAAGTTTAATGATTTTTTTTTAAGCACACACATGTACGCACACACACGTATACGCACACACAAATCATTGCTGTTGATTTTTTTCTCACTCCCCCTTCTAACTCCAGTTCCCTGAACCCTCACCCTGAACACCGCTCCTGCCCAGCGGGAAGCCGCTCCTCCATCTGCGCTGGAGGAGGGGGGCGGCGCTCCCCACGACCGGTGGGGGCAGTGGGGCGCGCTGGGGGGAACGAGAAAACCAAAACCTGGGCGGAGGGCAACCCGAGCGCTGGGAAGAGTCGGGGACAGCAGCGGGAGCAGGATGAGGGAGGAGGTGGGGGGAAAGAGGGAGGAGGTGGGGGGAAGAGGGAGGAGGTGGGGGGAAGAGGGAGGAGGCGGGGGGAAGAGCGTTCCCGCGGGTGGTGGGGAGACCCGGGCACGGCGAAGCGGGGTGGTTCTGCTCGTCTGGGTCACGGACGGCGGAAATCGTCCGTCTCGTTCACTTCCAGGTCCCAGTGGCACGGCACCCAATTACGGGGGAGCGCGGGGGGGGTGGTGGGACCCCCCCCGCTCCCCCCGTGACAGAATTGGGGCATGGGTACAGCGAGGCACGGAGGCAGCGTGGGCCAATTAATGCGGAAACTGAAAGCTGCTTTCATTAAAGTCCAGGCGCCCTTTCCCTCCACGAACACCGCACCCAGACATGGCGCCCCCCCCTCCCCTCCTATTGATAAATTAATAAATACCACAAGTGGACACATTTGGATAAATGGATGATGTGCATGACAACACAAAAAAGCAATTTGTTGTTGTGTAAAAGTTTTTTTTTTATCAAACAAAAACATTTCATGAAACAGATTGCAACAATTCGCGTTCTGAAACACGCTAAAAGCTCAACAGTATTCCACACTAACAATGCACCACTGATAAAATGGAGGAAAACCATCTGTCCAGGGCACACATGAAAATTGCAGTGGCAGCTGCATTGTTTTTTTTAATGTATAAAAACTGTATAAGCTGCTCCTTTGAGTTTAAAACCCATTGTCTTTTATTAAAAAAGAATCACTTTACATTGACATTCTGTGTCGAGCAGACTCATCATTACTTGTTTGCTGGCCGCTTTCGCGCCAGCATCTCCCACCGGATGTTCCGGATGACACTCTCAATCTGGTCGCCATTAACATTTCAAGCACTCAACATCGCCCAGCAGAGAGGCGGTCTCCAGCTCTCTCTGGCACCCCCACCTCTCCCTCTCTCTACATCACACATCGCCCCTCTCCCTCCCTCTCTCTCTTTCACTCTCTTCTTCGCTCGCTCGCTCTCTATCCATCCCCAACCCCGCCAGTGCCCCCCTCTCACTCCGCAGATTAGCGCCGTGAGCCCGCATCATGCCCTAGTCCGGGGGCCCTCTCAGTAATTACCCGCCCATTTGTCGGCGTTAATGATGCACCGCGGACAGGCCGGGCAGACTGTGCCAGCTGGCCGGGGCCTCGGCTAGACGGGCTCACCGCGGGGAGTGCGCATCCGTGGGCTGGCAGCCAGTGAAGCCTGTAGGCCTGGCAGTGGGAGTGCGGGCTCCCCACTCTCCTGCCACCCACGCCGCTTAACCGCCGCCTTCGCCACTCGCTCCAATCCCAGGCAACCCCGGCACAACCCATCACAAGCCACAGCACAAGCCACAGCGCAACCCATCCAAACCCAGAACAACCGAGCCAACCCCAGAACCACCCAGCCAAACCCAAAACAACCCAAGCAACAACCCAGCCAGCCCCTGCCAAGTCTCCTGCTCGCTAGGCCCGGCTGCAAATTAGCGTCCTGCAGTGATAAAGCCACCCTGAGTGCTGTCAGCCCTGCGTGGGGTTTTATCTCACAGCCCCCTCATTAATTATCACACTTAACAATGCTGCTTAAATGAAATATTCACATCTCACAGGGTTAACTTAAATATATTTTTTTTCCGCTGCAAACTGCTTCTTTTTAAGATGATTGTACTTGCCAGGCCGCTGACTTTTCACATGATAACCAAACACGTTTAAGAATCGCGTGCACGCACGCAGAGCGGCGTTGCTTGCGTTCCGTGCAAACCGCCAGGATCACGTGCAATTGTGAAGATTGTGTGAGAGAGAGAGAGAAAACGAAGTGAACATTCAATGCGTCCAGTGGACATCGTACCAACGCGAATTGTAAAGCGGTGAACTTGCGATTGTGGGCAGGCTAGAACGTTGTAAAATGTGATTGTACGCCAAGCCATTTAGCAGCAATGCATTCCAGTTTCTTTGTTCATTTACTTGTTGTGTTCTGTGTGTTCTCTGCCAGGAAAGTATTTGAACTAAATGTAACAATAAACCATATATTGGATTTGTTACTTGTTTTCATAAGATTACCAATCATGTAGACATTCTTTTAAAATGAATTTGCATGCATGGTCTTGGGGGAACCCACCGTGTAAGAAGAACAACAGCCAACACATTTTGACAAGGGATCGTCGTCATTGTATTCATGAAGTCAATCGACTGGTTATGTAATGTCATTCATGTGCGAAAAAGTAGCAGGTAGGTACATTTATTTTCAGAAATTTGAAATGTTTAATGCCCCGAGTACGTGTGTGTGTGTACACGCACGAGTGTGTTTGTGTGGAAGGGTGGGGCAGTGTTTTTCGCAGTGCACTATGCACCCAGCGACACCGATTTCAACTCCCCGCCACGGCTAACATCAGTGGCGAGTGGTATCTGAACCGGCCATGGCCTTCCACTAGGTCGACTTAGCCTTACACGAGTACTCGACGCAGCGGGTTCACATCGGCACTGTGGGAAAAAGAGGATGGAGCGAGTGGTGCTGACCACGCCGCCCTCCTCCCGTACTCCGTGTCAACATCAATAGGTGCTCGCTGACGACACTCACCCCCACAGTCCCCACGGTCTGTTCAAGGCTACACGGGAATCGTTGATGAGTGGGGGGGGGGGCTGCGTAATGGAGGCTCGCGGACCGAGATACAAACACGGCGGTATCGATTCCTAGGCCACCGCCAGCAGTAGGGAGGAAGCGGATATCTTCGCCTGGGTGTGACCTCCCCAGAGGTCAACTCGGCCTCGAAATGAGCACCGTGCGTCGCGGTGCGATCCGACCCAGCGCCGCGTCCCTGGCACTGCCGTGCGCGTCGTCCTTCGTGCTGTTGACATTCATCGACGTGTGTCGATTACTACCCCGACACCACAAACTTCTGACCCCCCCCCCCCCACCTCCGTCGGCCAGCGCACGCGGAAGATGCCGTAAGTCAAAGCCGAAGTCATCGTCATACTCTGCTGCGTGCAACAGACCGATCTGAGAGCGATAAGACACTTTGTGTCTTATCGCGGTGTGATGCGGCAGAGAGCACGTCGTTACGATCCTTCGCAGAACGCGTGTTCGATGAACGCGTGTTCGATGAACGCGTGTTCGATGAACACGTGTTCGATGAACGCGTGTTCGCCCGTGCGAACCCCGATCGGAGCTGCGGGAAGTGGGCGGGAGGGGGGACACCGCGGATCGTTTTAATCGCCCCCCCCCCCTGCTCCCACCCCCTGCTACGCCGCAGCTAAATGCAGATTCCACGTCGTGCTGGTCTCCAGTGGCCCAGGCGGAATTTCCCCAAGTTGAGGGGGTGGCGGGAGGGGGCGACTTGAGCGGGCACCAATTTGGCTTGGCAGGGAACACAGCGCGCTGGTGACAAGTCGTGCCCACGCATCAACAGAGCTTCTTGGGCGCCAGGGGAGTGCCGCTACCCGCGAGCCGCCAACTTCTGCACTCCCCCGCACCCCCACTCCATCAGCCCCGCAAACTCCTGCGCACCAGCGAACCCGCGGCGCGCTCCACGCGTAGAACAACTCCGGGGAGGCCTGCGGCTCGCAGCGGCCCGCTCGTGTGTCCTTTACCCCCCCCTCCCACACCTGCGATGAGCGTGCTTGGCTGCGTGTGGTGCGAAAGAAGTTCAACACGCGTAGATACATGCATACAGCTCCACTGCTGGCTAGGACGAGTGTTCTGGAGGCGGGCAGGCGCGTGTGGTGGGCTTTGCGCGTCGCCTTTCGCGGACGCAACATTGGGATCATCGTCCGTCCCCTCTCTGACGCCACAAGCGACTCGCTCGCGTCCTACGTCGTCATCCTCCGCTGTTGGCAGTCAGCAGCCTCCTCCTCCCCTGTGGACGCGTTTACATTCACGGTGCGAGGCGAGAGGAGGAGATGCGACGTTGTCTCACTCGCGTGGTGAGCTCGCACAAAATAGGTTTTACACCCAGGTATCAATGGGGGAGAGGGGGGGGGATTGACACCCGGCCCCCCAATAGCCCCGCATCCACACACAGCCCTGGTGCACATCGCTTTCGTTCACAAGCGGTGAACAAAATAAATGTGAGATGCCTCCCGTAAAAAATAAAAGTTAGCCAAATAAATAATAGAACTGCCATTCGCAATTAATGGGAAACACAGTTTAGTCACAAACAATCGAATGCAGAAATTCCGAAGTGTAGCAATTGCACAATTAATATATCTGGCTGGAATTCGGTATCAGTAATTCAGTATTGAAACTGCTGTTACCAACGTTACCGTTATGACCAATGATGGGTTAGAAGTTCCGTGTTGAGCAGCGAACATCTCACTTTTTGCAAAGTCCACGGGGCTTGGGACCGTCAAAATTCACAAGGAGGTCCAGCCTGCATCAGAGAACATCATACCCCAATCTGTTCGTATCAATTTAATTGGGTTTTATTATCGCGTCTAATCGTGTTGTCTAATTAACAGCGTTGGCTGGGGATGAAGTAAAGGCAGACTCTATAAAACACCTTTGATCTCCACCATATGGAGCCTCTACTTATGATTACCATGTTTTCAGAATTAAACAGAGAGGGGGGGGGGGGGCGACAGGAAAGGTTTTCAAAATGAGCGCTGCCGCAATCAGCAGCAAAGTGCATTCCTTAAACCATTCAAATCCTTGCACTGTACTTCTACTCGCGTGTTCAGCGTGAAATTACGCCCAGTACCTCTCTGCCTTTATTGCAAGCTCGCACTGTATTGTTGCCAAGTAAAATACATTTTTATTTTAAGAGAGCAAGGAACGCTGTACATCGCCAGGACTAAAAGAGCGAATATTCAAGTGATCCCGAGCCTCTCGCAAGACACAGCCATCACCCAGAGGCGGCGTTCGTCATGCCAGCACGCCGAGCGGCTCAATAAAGATCTGCGCGCGCCCCGAGTTGTTAAATATTTGTCGAGTTTTCCATTTTTTGTTAAGAATTACAGGTCTTTGGGACATTATTAATTAATGTAAATATAGTGATGCCTGCCGGTGA